TATCCGGGTCTCCATATATAGACCTGAGAATGGGAGAAGTATGGCAGAATTGATCGATCAGTGGAGAAGAAGAGTATTACCGCAACATTCTCCACGATGCCCCACGATATGCAAAGAACTGCCCCTCTAACTGCCCCTCTAATTGGCCCCTGCAAAGAACTGCCCCTCTAACTGCCCCTCTAACTGGCCCCTGCAAAGAACTGCCCCTCTAACTAGGAACTGCCCCTCTCACTGTTCCCTGCAAATAACTGCCCCTAAGTGAGGGACGGGACGTACCGTTTTTCTCTTGCTCAATGAGCTGTAGCTTAAGGACTCTATTCTCCAGCGCGGTCCTGTATGGGACGGGTCGCACGTGAGGAACCATTCAGCGATGAGGGATTCGATCATTGGAGTAACAATCATCGTGAGAATCGATGGCAATGCGAGACAGAAGGCTGCTGTAGTGAGTGTGATTGTGCCTCACCGCTTCGATGCTTCCAACACGATGTCCCTTTCCTGCTGCATGTGATCGGTTTGATCCCTCCAATGCTTCACCAGGTTTCCGGCGGCTGCACAACATAGGGGCTTCTGTGATACATTCTCCTGATCAAGTTGGCATATTGAGCAGACGCATGATCCTCGCGAAGAGAAGCATGATGCAGCATACCTTTGCCGTGTGCGTCCACGAGTCTCTTCTGCTCTTCAAACAGTTCCTCTGTCTTGTGCATGCGGTCTTTCTGTAGAGAGATAAAAGCAAGACGCTCACCTTAGGTCCAACGCAGTGCATGATGGAAGAATGCAGTGCATAAGACAAATCTTAGTCAACCAGGCCTTGCGAAAATCTCTGCGACACAGGATCAGAATTCTTCATGAGCATTAAGGATAAGGTTTCACTTCACCTTGAGGGCGTTGTACTTCTCCAGCAGCTTGTCGTGAGCCTCCTGCAACTGCAGTGGGATGATGATCTCAGTAGTACATCTATCTTCATGTAATATCAGCAGAGATGCTGAACAGCCGTGAGGATTCAGCAAGTGAATGCCAGCATTGTGTAAAGGCCTACCTTCAGAAATGCTGTGTCTTTGCCGATGACAGAGCCCTTCTCAAGCGCTCGCTGTCTTTTTGCAGCAGCCTTTGAAGCATTTATGAATGGTAACAAAGCGGCATTCGGTCCAGTCGGTGTCTTTGCAGGAGCAGCCGCCTCATCATCCAGCTGGACGGGAGATGCTGCAGCTGTTCCTAGGCCAGTCCTGAGCTCCCGCCCATGCTCTGCATTGTCTTCTACCTTCTGCTCTTGGGCGGTGCCAGGTGCCTCTTCTTGATCAGGAATCTCTGGGGCGATCATCCTCTTTCCGCTTTGCGGCCCTGTAGTAAGGGGCCGTGTGCTGGCAGGAGCTTCAACCTGCTGCATTCTCATCTGCCTTCGCCTGTCCTACTCTTTGAGACTGTTTGGTAGGGCAGAAGTTCTCTTGCATTTGAATCGCTGAGGTTTGCTGAAGTCATCAAGAGCATCCGAGTCAGAACCTCCCGAAATGCTCGGATACGGCGCGTACGGTCCGTTTGCTACATCTACTCCACGTGGCGTGTCGTGATTAATTTCAGACTGCCGCTGAAAGGAATTGTAAGGAATTGTAAAAATTCGTCGAAAAACTCCGAGGGCGAGGGACTCCCCCAAACATGACGTCCAGGGGGACTCCCCTAAAAAATGAACAGTGAAAGATTTCCCCAAAATAAAAAACGCCAACTTGAAGGTGGACCTCTCGGTGTACTACGGTACATTTTTGTGAATTGTGGGTAGGCTAGTGAACACGCCAGGGGCTGTTTTGTAGACCTATAAAAGCCTCACTAGATACATTTTGACCCAACCATTCTGTAACTTCTCCTACCACTTGAGCAGGTCACAAGCCGATACCTTCTATCTTCGTCACAAGCAGATCCAAAACTATTGTCCAATTGGAAAAGTCAGCTGAGTCCCATGGACATTCAGGACCTGGAGGCCTGGTTGCAAGTAGCCATGGTGACATGGAAGACTCTGCGGGCTGTAATCACTTATTTGTACGACCTCTTGAGTGGCATCCCCGAGAATGCACATTCTCCAGAAGTCTGGGAAGGATCCAGTGAACTGGACCGGCACATTGCATTTCACAAGATGGGGTTGGATACGACGACAGGTATTAATATTGCGGTATGCGGTACCACTGGCCGAGGCAAGTCAACCTTGATCAACATGCTCATACGCACAGATTACGATCATGGAGGTGAGTTATCCTCAGACAGAACCTGTATGTTGGTTCAGCTTTTTTTTGATGTGAAGAGCAGCTGTGCTATCTTAAGATACAACGTATAGTTGGTTGCAACGCCGGAAAGGGGGAGGTATGAAGTGCAATCTGTGCACCTGGATTGAGTGACGGTGTGTATTGACCACTCAAGGGGAGATTGTTATTTCTTGCTCCTGCAATGGTGTTGACTCAATGAAGCTCTCTGTCCCCAGGAGCAGAAACGGGTGTTGGAGAAACAACAGAGGAGGCGCAAGGATTTCCATATCGCAACAGTAAGATTTGGGATATTCCTGGCGGAGGCACAGGAAAACACCCGTCCAAGTCATACTATGAAGACAATTGTTTGGATGGTATGGATGTGCTCATTCTTGTTTACACAGATGGGGTCTCTGAGCTGGATCTGAAGTTGGTAAAATTGTTCGATGATGACAACAGGAAGAAGAAGAAAACATATTTCCTAGTCAGAATGAAATCTGACATCGCAGTATGTGACATCAAGAGATCCCAAAAATTGAACTTTGGGAGAGCCAAAAGCGAACTCTTCCAAACCGCGGAAAGGGAGAAGGCAGGAATCAAGGAAGAGATAAAGGTTGAGGTTCCGAAAATATACTGTGTTGCAGATCCAACCGCTAAAATGTCTTTTCGAGACTGGGTTTTGGGTATGGTTCCGTTTGTAGAATGGGGGCAGGGTGAGACGTTTGAGTTTAAGACCTTCGAGCTCGCTCTTCTGCATCACCTTGGTGTGAAGCGCTTCCCGAAAGCAGTGAGAACGGACATAACAAGAAAGAGTTGGATATGATTAGTGGGTTGGTTGGTAGCGGTGGGAGGTGGTTAGTGGGTTGGTTGGTAGGTTAAATTGTGAAGACTAGAAAATCCAAGATGAAGCAACGTTTGAGACTAAGTACGTTGCTGACATCTTGCTTGAAGCAAACTCGTTTGTATTGAGCATGTGGTTTAGCATTTCGTATTCTCCAGTTCTTCAATATGTCATTACTACCCCCAGATGAGCAGTAGTGTGAATTGACTCATACGGTTGTGGAAATGAGGGGTTGTGCTTTTTTGCCTCCTCTCAGAGTAGGGAGTTGTCCACTCATGCAGATATGAGGCCGAAAATAATCTTGCCATCTCGCTTTTCATGATGCAAATTCCGGGGCCTAGATCGCGCCCGTGCTCGACGCCGAAAGGTTCCAGACTGCCGCTACAGAGTGATTGTAAGGAGTTGTAAAACTTCGTCGAAAACCTCCGTTCCGGGGCCTAGATCGCGCTGTCATTGTCAGAATCTCTTCGACTTTTCGGTCAAAAATGCCACATCGCAGCCACGCGGCGCGCATGGATTGACTCGGTCCCAAAAATCGATCCTTACGAACCCTAGAACCCTCGGGAACCCTAATATCGGCATTAGATGGGTTTACTAAGAGATTTTTCACACATTGTACATGACAGCCTAGCGGCCTTCTGCGCGCGGGAAGAACGTGAGAATATGTGTCAGGACATATACAGGAGATGGCGGAAAGTCCAAAGGAGAGGGTTAACAACCCCGTGCAGTGCACCGTATTCAGAGACACCTTGGAAGACCTCATATACATGGTGTCTAGCAAGTTGAAGCAGAAGGAAACGTCGCAGACCATATGGAACGAACTGCTGGTCCCGTTCCTCAGCTACGGTAGACCTTACATACAACTCGTCATCGGTTTTGCCAGCATGGTTCTCATTCTACTGATCGCAAGCGTAGTTCTACTCTTCGTCAACCTCAGCTTGTTGAAAGACTTCATGAGTGCCAAGAAGCCCTGAAGCATGCCCTGTACAATGAAAACAACACACCACTCCACTCGTTCGTACGGTAACCACCCTCTAGCTATTGATCAAACCCTAGCTGTTTGTGAGTAGCCACATACTGACTAGCGTCAACCAGACGTACAGTATTCTGCTGTTACTCTTCATCTCTTCCCGTAAGGTGTCCGTCTTCTCCTTAACGCCCTGGATGCTGGTCGGCAACGTCTTCACCAGATTTGGGGTGTCTATGAAAACCTCACGGGCCATAGCAGTCATCAGGGCCGAATCCAGGGGAGGGTTGGGCAGGACCGCTTTGAGTAGTTCCGTGGAGTCGAAGAAGGGGTCCAGTTTTCTGCAGATAGCGTCTACCATCCCGCTGTTTCGCAACAAATAAAGGAACTCCAGCCTGGGCCTGAAGACCCGAGACTGGTTCCTCCCCAGGATCTTCTGCTCCTTCACGATCTGATGGACGTCCTCCGGGTTGCCCGCTTGTAACAGCTGTCCCATGACGGCCTGCACTGCCTCTATCAGGGCCCGCGTGTCTCTCGAGTTTCTACACTTGCTGAGGTCCAAGACTCCCATCCCCGATAGAGAGTCGACCACGGTCTGGGCGTTCCCGGTCGTGAAGGCTCGGAAGAGGTCTCGCATATACTTTTTGGGGGTATCGCCGAGAGCTATCACGGCACCCAGGTCGTAGAATACCAATTGCCCGTCCTCTGTTATCCCTGCGTTGCCGCTGTGTAAGTCGGCATGGAAGAGGCCGTTCTGTATGATCTGGAGGGCGAAGCACGCTGCGAGTCTGAGGGCCGCGACTCGCGCCGACATGATGTCCTCGATGTTCTCCACGTCGTCTATTTTCAGACTTGGAATGTACTCCATGACCAGCCACTCATCCCCGCTGGCTATCACTCTCGGGACCCGGACCCACGGCACCCTCTCCAAAGACTCTCGGAAGGCAATCGCGTTCTGGGCCTCCCTGTTCAGGTCCGTCTCACCCAAGATCACGGGTCGCATCTCCGTCAGCATCTCGGAGATGTTCTCGCTCCCCTCCACGCGGAGTCTCTTGAGGATCTGGCAAGTAGACTGCATGTCGTCCAGCCCCTGCAAGAAGGCCTCTCTCAGATCGGGTCTCACGACCTTGATCGCCACCTCTCTCCCGTCTTTTATCGAGCCTCTGTAGACCGCTGCCACCGAGCCACAAGCGATAGGAGGGGCGCCACGGGGCACGCCGTAGCTAGACAGCAAATCTTCGTAGACGCTGCAATCGAACGGCGTCACGGAGTCCTGCAGCTTGACCAGCTCTTCTAAGATCTCCGGGTCCAAGCCCTCTCCGCGCACGGAGACGAACTGCATGACCTTAACGAAGAGAGGGCCCATCCTCTCGGATGTCTCGCGCATCCACCTTCCCACTCCTCTCCTGTCCCTATCCCATTTGAGACGTGCGAGCATCTGGAGGGTCGTGGACGTCGTACCGAAAACCCTCTGCGCCCTCTGCAAGTGGACTGGCTGCTCGGCAGGAGGAGGTTGGATCGCTCCCCGAATGGAATGGAACTGCCTGGCTACTAACCGCGACGACGCCATGTTTGGTCCTCTATCCTAGTCTCAGAGATTCTCTCGGCCCTAAACCGACACGTTCTGATGGCGTCTCCATATAGGGCAAACGGGGCCCGGAAGGTGTTATGGTAAACATGGGAACACATAACGACCACGGTGTGCTCAAGATTACGTTATCATTCCTCATGGAAGCCAGCGCATCCGAGTTTGGGTACAAGTGGCCGTTGCCAAAATGGAAGGTTGACGAGCTCCTTCAGTATTCAAGTTGCCAAGTGATCAAGATACAAAGAGCTTGGCGAACCTACAAGCAGGAGCGGCACAGGTGTGACGTAGTTCCCGTTCGGCCAGGGTAATCCTCATTCTCTCTAGCAAACACTTGTCTACATTGAAACAGGTCAGTTGCGTTCGAGAATTGGTAGTAACCATCCTTGTGATAACGCAAAAGCAAGTTTGCTCCCTCGACCATTGAAAACAACACCATCTTGATAATCGGGGTGAGAGCCGTGGGAAAGACAGTGCTGGTCAAAGACTTGCTATGCATGGTCGTCCACAAAGCGCCGCATTCGACTCGCGTAGAGGATGTCGTGTCGTGGTACAAAGTTGACCCTTCATCTGCTACTGTTGATATGTTTCAGCAAGGTGGAGTTGACCACCATGGGCGAGCTGAGATGGGGTAGGTGACCCGCAGTAGGGAGTACTTCCTTGGTACAATTCTCGAGGGTTTGAGCCAGGTAGGTTCCCACCGAGAGCGGTACGGCAATATCGGTCTTGCTCTGGATGATCACGCAGCTTACGGTGACCTCTGACAACATCTCTCGGAGGTCCATCAGGAAAATGGTCTTGCACGTCGCCAACGCTACGTCCGGACGCACTTCGAGTAGGCCGCTCGTGAACTGCTTGACGGCCGCGTCGTTGGGCTCTTCTACGGCTAGCGAAGCGAAACCAGCGACCCAATCTTCGTAATGATGCTCGACGTTGTTTATTACCATTTGCGCCTAAAATGTCGCCCGTACCGGGGACATATCGGGCGCGAAAATTGATAATAATACCGGATTGAGTCCGTACGAGTACGGACCGGTTATCGGCTATCCGCGAACCGCCGGGTTATAGCTAAAAAAGCCTCCGGTATCCGCGAATAATCCTCAAACTGGCGTCGTCCGGCAAAATTCGACCGGCCGAACCCTTCCCCCCAGCCTGCACTGCAGCAGCCTCAGGATATTCCGGGCGGCGTTCACGTCGCGGTTCACCGTCATGCCATTACAGCCACTGTTGGAACAGTGGAGCACACCGTGAACTTTGACAGTCTTGACCGCCCCATCCTTGCACCGCTTCTCCGAATACTGATTGTGCAGCTGCGTCTTGCAATCGAAGTGTAGCTTGCTGGTCCTAAACTCATCCACCGAGACCACTCTGCAATGCTTGCGGAGCTCCCGCTCCAGCCGCTTCACGGGTCCGGAAGGTGATCCTCTCATGATCCCTGCTGCGTCCTTGTTGGACCAGTCCCCGAAGCCCACGACCGTCCTTTTGCCAACCCGCTTGGTGATGCCCTTGCAGATCTCGTGCAACTTCTTCTGTGCATAGATATACCGCTTGAACTTGAGACCCCTGAACCCCTTCCTCATGTGGAAGCTCAGGAGCATATCCAAGCGAGGAAGCATGAAGCGCACATAGTCGAGCAGCTTGGCACTCTCCGACGTCTTCTTGGTGGGCATGTTCCGGATTGCCTCGAGCACCTCCGGGCACTGTTCGTACCAGTGCCTGATCCTGGCGTTGCTGAGCTTGTACTTGGCATCGTGGTAGAATTCGCATGTCGAACAGGACAACTTCTCGCCTTGCTCGTTTACCATGACGAACAAGTCCCTCCTGCCAGGGTCCAAGCCCCACAGCTCCTCGCTGCCGGTAAGATCAGGGAGTGCCCCCTCTCCGACAGCCGACTTCGGTTTAGGCTTCCTCAGCATCATGCACACTGCCTTCCCGTCTGTGAGGATCTCGCCTGCGAACTTGCGGTTGCTCGTCTCGTACTTTGCGATGTTGAACAGCTCTCTCCAGTAGTCGTCCGCCACCTCCCTGAATTTGGCTCCAAATGCCGGCAACTTGACGCCTCCTCTCTTCAGCAAGCCATACAGGCCGTTCGTGCACATCTTCAGGTGGCTGCACTCGAAGCCGCTCTTGGTGGGAAGGAGACTGAAGAGCCTCAGCTGCTTGCCCTTCTTCAGCTCGGCTTCAGAGAGAGGATGGTGCGACTCCATGTACCGGAGGAACATAAATTGCATGGGCATGAACAGGTGAGATGTGGAGTCCGCTCTACCGGTCGTGGCTTTCGGAAGCATTGCACGGTACTCGAGAACCAATGGGTCGTCGCCGTCGTATTCCTCTGCCAGCATGTGTCGCATCTTCTGGTAGCATGATGGGCCATCCAGTGAATACTTGTGCTTCAAGTAGCGCTTGAAGCGCCTGTAGAAGTTAGTAGCGACGGAGTTCCTGGTGCAAGTCGTCATCTGGAGGCTCGCATTCTGGTACCAGCCGGATGCAAGATGCTCGCTGTCCGGGGGCATGTAGTTAGCAGGGCGTGATGAAACATACAGCTCGACCGTTTCCCTGAAGAACAGATCTTTGATGGGGCTCTTCTGCCTCCCAGCGACGCTGACGGCTGACAGACATCCATAGAAGAAAGACTGGTCTAGAGGTGGCACTTCTCTTCCCAACTCACACATGCGCAATACATGCAGGTTGGCAAGCACATAGGCCTCGCATATGGCCTTGTTCACTTCCTTGAGCGCACTCTCAAGAGGAAGGGCTTTCGCAGCCTCCTTGCAGAAGCTGTTCCAGCTGGTCTTGACCACGGTGCATTCAGTCTCTCGGTTCCTCTGGGCACGAAGCTTGACGTCTTCTCGGGTTCGAGTGGGCTCCTTGAAGAGCTTGCTCACGTAGGCCAGGCATTCATGCTCGAGAGCGATGTCCGGGGGTTTTTTCGGTGGCATGGCGAACGCCACCTTATACACTACTTTTAAGAAAAAAATCCTCGAGAATTTTACGCGCCTGGGCCTAGGACTCTCTGGAACAGCCTGGAGCAGACCGCAGCAGTGAGCTTTTGAAGGCCCTCCTCCAAAGCTGCCCTGAGTTCTGCCTCGTTCCTTGGTGCTTCTCCGTTGACGTGGGTCCTGAGGATGTTGAAGCATAATTCCACGGGGTTCAGATGCGGTGCATACGGAGGTAGGTATTGCAAGTCTATGGCCATTTCTTCTGCTGCTTCTGCTACCGTTGGCAGCCCTCTGCGCTGAGGGAGTTGGTGCTCTTGTGAATGGCTGCATTGTCTAGGACGATCTTGGAACCCATGGGAAGCTCCTGCAGGAATTCCAGGAACCTGACGGAGTCCACCGAGCCCTGGTAAAGGTTCCACTTGACCACACCTGTGGAGCTGATGCAGAGGAGGAGGGAAAACTTCTTGCCCCTGGGACCTAGCCTCTTGACCACGGCTCGCGTGCCACGCTGGCTCCATGCATAGCCACGGACATGGTTCATGAAGAAGCCACACTCGTCTAGAGACAGCAGATGTGGGCCCAAGTCAGCTTGGATGTCCGTTAGGAACGCATGGCCCCTCTCCTCGTTGAACTCGCAGTAGGCCTTGGTGGCTTTCTTGAGCGTGAAGCCGACCTTTTTCAGGTGCCTAGACAGGGTTGACACGTCAACGGTCACTCCATGTTCATCATCTAGGAACCTTATGGCTGCTTTGAGAGTAGTGCTTGGATTGTCTCGTACATGTGAGAGCATGCTGACCGTTGCCGCTGCAGTTACCTTCCTGGTGCTTGCTCTGTTGCGCGTCTTGTCCTGGAGCCTAGGGCTCCTTGCCCACCTCTGCAAGGTGCGCCTGCTCCTTTGCAAAGCTTGACCGATGGCATCATCACTCATTCCAGAGGCGACCATTTGCCTGAAGAGAGCACGTTGCTCGCTCATCTTCATGGTGGCGTCTGGTATGAAATGAGTATGGCTTGCATGCATGCGGTTGGTTGAGATCACTACGCACGATATCATATATGATTCGAAGTCCTTATGATAAGATCCGAGGCGCTTATAGTCTTGGACGGCCGAATATATGTCGACGTCGGCCGATTGGCGGTCTAACCGGGCAGATTTGCGCGACATTTTCACCGCAAATGGTAATAAAAGGTCTCGCACTTGCTCTTCTTGGAAACCTCCGACGTAGTCCGTAGAGGGGTCATTGATGTATCGCGGCGAAGAGGCTAGCATGATCACTCTCCGGAACAGGTCGGGCCTCTTGGTGCTGGCGGAGAGACCGATCATGCCCGAGACCGAGTGTCCGACGAAAACGCAGCCCGAGATCCGGAGCTCGTCCAGGATACATATCAGGTCGTCCGAGTAGGCTCCTAGGATAGAGTAACGTTGAAAGTCGAATGATTTTGCTCCGTGAGGAGTCTCGACCCTCGGCGAGGCCGTCACTGCGGCGATGAACTTTTCAAAGATCGTCCGAAACGTCTTCCTCCGATTCGGAGACTCCGTGAAAGCGCCGCTCTGAGACGTTCGGGCATAGGGCAGGTCGTACGTGAGGACTCCGTAACCTCGTCTCAACAGCAATGGTTTCAGGTTGTGCCAGCAGGTGGAGTCGCAGCCGAAGCCGTGACCCAGGACCACGACTGGATTGTCGTCTTTGGATTCATCGTAAGAAGCTAGAGTGTACTCGGCCCAGCTCATGAGTGATCCCTGAGGATACTTTCGAAAAATCTCCCGCGGAAAAGAGCGCATGAATGCTGCGAAGAGACTTTGTGTCTGACGGACGCGTTCCGAGGCCTCGCACTTTCTTGTTAGGAGTATATCAAGCCCAAGATCATGACAGAAGCTCAATATGCTGCGTTGGTCGCGGACGTCGTGGCAGTTTGGAACACCACGCAAAAATTAATGAAGAGGTTGCGGGATTCTTCTTCCACTTATTCACACGTACAGAACCTGAACGACGCCTCTATCGAGGCAATTGCGATGTTATGCGAAGATCCGTCATTCGATGTGCACCAGTTTACCGTTCAAATGAACCTCTTGAAAACATTCATGGACAAAGACATCGACGGGTTTTTCAAATGTAGTAACGAGCAGGGCAAATGGCAATCTACATGGGTCAAACTGTCCGGAGAGTGAGGCCTTTGTTGGAAGACTCGTTCATCGGACGCGGAAGATTTCTGTCGTACCTATTTATCGTGAACCGTGCATGGCGGTAGCAGTCAGAGAGTTACCAGACCTCTTCAAAGGGGATCAGTGCTGGAAGATCCGAGTGGAGGACCTCGGGGCCGAACGTGGCGTCTTCATCGTCCGAGAATTCAGGCCGACCGTCTGGAAGACTCGCGTCGAGGACACCCCGGGCCTGGCACTCGCTTGGGACGCCGCGGTCGTCCGATCCGAGGAATTGTGGGAGAGTCAACGCAGCAGAGGGTACGAAGTTCGGACCATGGACGACTCCAAGATCTTTCCTATGTTGGCTCACGAGTACACGAAGCACGCCAACAAACTTTCGGACGCCGTATGCGTGCAGCCCAAGATAGACGGTATAAGGCTGCTGGTGGGAAGAGTTTCAGACGCCGAACTGAAGGCATATAGCAGGACTGGGAAGCGACTGGTGGTACCACATATCTTAAGAGCTCTCGCCCCTATTCTCGGACGCGCAGAATTCGTGGACGGAGAGCTCTTCGCGCCCTCCCTGACTTTTGAGGAACTCAGCGGCCTGGTCAGGACTCAGACGGCAGAAGGGAAGGACCTCTTGGAGTACCACATATTCGATTGCTTCAAGATCGACGAGAAAAAGGGCGCGCCGTCCGACCAGGGCTTCTGGGACAGGTTCTCCATCTTAAAGGAGCGCCTAATAGCTTCGGAAGGTGACGTCATAAAACTCGTGCCCACGGAGAGGCGTCCGAAAGCAGACGTGCCGAAGCTCCTAGAAGAGTACGTTCAAGAGGGGCACGAGGGTGTCATGATAAGGAGTCTGGTCGCGCCTTACGTACTGGGAAAGAGGACCTTCTCGCTGCAGAAGCTGAAGCCCTTCAAGACGGAAGCCTTCGAGATCGTGGGCGCGGAGAGTGGTGCGGGAAAGGACAGGGGTTGCGTGACCTGGCAGTGCAGGACGAGCGACGGTATCCCCTTCAAGGTGAGGCCCAAGGGCACGGCCGCACAGAGGCGCGAGTGGTTGGAGAAAGAGAGCGAGTACAGAGGCAAGTACTTGCTGGTGAAGTATCAAGAGTCGACGGCCGGCGGCGTCCCACGCTTTCCCGTGGGCGTGGGTTTCGGATGATGGAGAAAGCCGTGGAAGAGTGGGATTCCGCGGCTCTGAGGCTGTTGAGGGGAACGGTAGAGGAGGGAATGGCGTTCCGGGAGTCGAGCAAGATTGCTTCTGGCATCCCCGAAGTGGTCACGGTCACCTTCCTCGTGCACTGCGACTCTGGGGCGATAGACATAAAGCTGTTGCACGAGAATCTAAAGGACATGGCTGGAATGAGCACCAGCGAGAGCGGAATTGAGATCGCGCTCAACACGAACGACGCGCGCTTCGGGACCACCGGTGGTAGGAGGATCGTAAACAACTCCTTCTACAACCAGGTCTCGCTGACCGCCAGGAAACGAGGCGGCAGGCAGATCAACTGCAAGGTCTTCGCCAAGGGGTGCCTCCTGGTGACCGGGTGCAGGACCATGAGGGAGCTGGACGAGATCCTCCGAGGCATAACGAAGATTCTGAAGCGAGCTTGCCCTTCCATCGGGGACCTCAGGATCGCCCGAGCCGAGGCCACCATGATCAACGCCAGCGTGGCCTTGACCGGTCCAGAGAGGTGCATGACCGTCATGCCTTACGCGTTCCTGAGGTGCGTGACCGAGATGGTCGAGTGCCGCAGATTGACGGGCAGAGTCACGGTCGAGTACAACCCCACGGTGTACTCTGGTATAAAGCTGAAGGTGGATCGAGGCACGGCCCTCATCTTCACCACCGGCAAGATCATACTGACCGGCTGCAAGACCCTAGACGAGGTGCTCGGGCTCTGGAGGACCGTGCTAAAGATAGTCACTCAGAACGTAGACAAGGAGGTCGTGATCTTCTCCGACCACGCTCGCAAGGTCCGCAAGGACGTCAAGCAGAAGAAGAGACAGAGGGCGGTGGGCGACTCTAATAGCCCCAGCCTGAAGATCAACGTCAGATGAGAAACGATCGTGTTTTTTTCCTAGGTAATGTCAATACACGTGTGGGTGTGCGAACATGAATGGAGCGTCGCTCGTTATAGTGATCATCGTCTGCATGTTGGTCATGCACGTGTCCACTCTGGTGATCTTCTTCTACAAAGACCGCATCATGGCATTCTTGGATGAGATGTCCACCGACGTGTTACTCAGCGAGATGTCCAAGCGGGGCCTGATACCGGCCTCTGCTGCCATCGCGACTACTACGACGTACGATCCTCCGCCTATGCATCTCTACGAGCCCGCTCTCGAGTACCGCCCTTGGCGGCCGTACGAGCAACCCGTGGACAGGAGGCTTCCTGCCCTCCCGCCGCCCGCGAAGAAGCCGGAACGACGGATCATGCCTCTGCAAGATTCGACGGACATACCGGCGGCGCCGTGTGACATGTATCAGCCATTCATGCACCCCGCATTCGGACAGGAGTACGGCCAGACGGAAGGTCTGGTGACCGCGGATAAGACCGTGGACTGGAACGCAGCGACCGCGCGGTCGTATGCGCCTCAGAATTGCAAAAATTACGTCAACCTCAACATCACCTAGCGAAACCCCTGTACGGCGCACGAGACGTGCTCTTTCCGGTATCGACCCCGTCTTCCCTTCGCCGGCTGGTCGCGCTGTCCCCCGTCTCCGGGGAGCTCAGGTCCTCCCAATCGTCCTTGACGCGCTCTTGCTTCGGATGCGGGCTGCTCTCCACCG